TAAATCTGACAGATGTGCATAAAATATCAGTCAGGAAAATGCTAAATAGGAGGCTTGTCTTTTAGGGTCATAAATAAAATTGATCAGTACCTTCTCTCATTGATGCCATATATTTATCAGAAAACAGGAAGTCATCTCTTTAGCCTAATTCAGACATTCTTCTAAATTACATTCACCACTAAGTTGAATTGCGAGCTATCAATTTTATAATAGAAACAGTGCAGAAACCCAAAACGTCTAGTGATCTACCATTCTCCTTAAAATGCCTAACACTTGACATTTAGTTTAGTTTCATTTAGTTCATGAAACACTGTTTAGCCTAGTTTCTTCCCATGATAGTAGCGTTCATAAGGAACAGCAATCTTCATAATTTTTTTCCTTTGACAATATAAAAAACTAGTAAACATAAAGAACAGTTGAATTCAGAAATATGTGAGATATCTGGACTTTAAGAGTAAGCTCCTACGGGGCTGGCCCGGTGGCACACTCGGTAGAGGGCGGCGCTCCCACCGAGGGTTTGGATCCCATATAGAGACCGGTCCGCTCACTGGTTGAGCGCTGTGCAGGTGCGACACCGAGGGTTGCGATCCCATTGCCAGTCATGAAAAAAGACAAAAAGGAAAAAAAAAAAAAAAGAGTTAGCTCCTAGCAGATTAGCTGGCACATACAGATTCTGGACAAGACCAACAACATTTTGTGTACAGAAAAATCACCTGGGGAGTGGCTATCAATGCAAATTGCAGAAGAGTCTGACTTGGAAGAAGATGGGTAACTGATTTTTTAACAAGTACCCCAGCTGAATCTAATGTGAGTGGTTTTGAAAAAACATTCAGGGGTTTCAAGATTTCAAGATTCCAAGCTTTTATGTCTGAACCTCCCTTTGAGTCTAAATCAGTGTATTAAACATAGTAGACTCTCAATACACGCATACTTAATTAAAGTAATAATATAAAAGGGGGCTGGCCAGTAAGCTCAGTTGGTTAGAGCACAGCCTCGTAACACCAAGGTCAAGGGATCAGTTCCCCATACCGGCCAGCCACCGAAAAAGATAAATAAATAAAATAAAATAAAAGGGAAAAAATAGGGAAGGAAATTCAGTTCACCTAATCAGAGCTTACATTCTGTAAGTCAGAGCTGGGGGCCGAAAAAGATAAACAAATAAAATAAAATAAAAGGGAACAAATAGGGAAGGAAATTCAGTTCACCTAATCAGAGCTTACATTCTGTAAGTCAGAGCTGGGGAACCTTGTTTATATAATGAATTACTGTCCTCCTGAACTAGGAGCCACAAGTAGTAAAGAAGCCACTTAATATAGGCTTTGCTGCTGTTCCCTTTAGAGAGTATATAAAACATTCTAATTACCTACTTATAATATTAAAAATAGGCTGAAAAGTGTGTGTATAGCAAGGAGTATGGTTGACTGAGGGTGAGGTGAGAGTTATTCTCTGACCAACAGCAATAATCAAAGAAATATAATTCTGAGGATCACATAAAACCAAATGGAATCGGTCCTTGGTCTAAGCATCCCCCACACCTAATGTGAGGACTGTAATTTCCTCATTCCCACAGGAATTAATTGTGGACAAATTAAGCACTTCTGGTGTTATCAAATTACTAACAGTTCACAGAGAACTGAGGTACTCTCACCCTTACTTTGTGGGAACCAGAATATGTCTGTGTTCTGGGATTGTAAGCTTTTCATGAGTCTGGAGAGCATGCCTTACGTATATATATAACATGCTATTTCTCAGGCCACAATCCTGTAAAAGGAGCACTGGATTACTACTTAATGACTTCGTGATCTTGAACAAGTTATTCATCCCCTCAGAGGCTCAGCTTCCTCAGCTGTAAAATGGGTACCCAGTTCAATCTGTATTCATGGTCCAGGCTCTTTCCACTCAGCCATGAAGCGTCACGCACCACAGTGCCTAACTGAGGTTTATGTGGGAGGATCACCTGAGATAATTTTTGTAAAAGTGCACTGTAAGCTGTAAAGCACTATACAGATGAAGAGGATTATTAGTAGTCTTTTACGAAGCCCAGCTATAAAGACGCAAAGTGACCCAGAAAAAAAAACAGGGTAGATAGCCTGAAATACAACATCTATAGTGCCTAGAACATCTCCCCGTGGCCACTCCTCCCATGTTAGGTAGGTGCTTAATAAGTATTGAGTAGGTAAAGAAAAACACAAAACACAGGTTTGTGCCTCCACCATAGTAGGTCTGATACCAAGAAGGAATAAATACACCTAAAGCCAAAGATAGTTTCATTCAACCATAAAAACCAGAATGCCCAAAAGCCTAAAATCTTAAATTAAAAATTACTTGATAAAAAAGAGCACTAAAACATAAAATATGACCCAACATCTGCAATGAAGTGATTATATTCTTACCTCTTCAGTCTTTCAAATGCGATCTTGTAGGAATAGCAGAACCTAGGTGAAGTTGTCGAATTTTTTCCCTACATCTGGTAGATCTGCATAATTGTCCTTGCAACCTCAAGAGGAAATAAATTCTATAGATTGTTGGGTACCTAAGCACTCTGTTTTGTATCTGGAAGGCTGATTTTTAGTAATACCCTGATTTTAAGCCAAATGAGATTTATTCCCTAACACCCCACCCCCAAAACACACAAAAGAAACTTGGGGGGAGGTGGGGAGGGAGGGAAGCAGTCATTTACTTTATAAAACAATTCTCTATAGGGTTCCTTTGTCAGTTTCCCGGAATATATAAAATGAGATTCAAATTTAAATACTTACATTACATACAACTTGACATAGACAGCTATTTGTAGAATGAGGCAAATCCATGCTGGGAAATACCAAATAAAAAAATTCATGGGAAAAATGTTTTCTTCTGGGTGGCCCTTAACTGCCTCTTTTTTCCTCCATTGCAAATGTATTTTTATGCTGGATAACATTTCCAAAACCGGAATGTTTTTTTCTATTGTTGAAATGAAACAAACAAGTTTGCTTTCAGAGCCACAGAAATGCCCCACTGTTAGAAAAAACGTTTTGCACTGGCAGTTTGCCTCTCTTATCCCCATGCAACTTTGCTTATTGGCCCCTTTCTCGAGGAGGGCCCCTGGGGCTGTCTGGTGGACTGATTGAAAAACTACTTTGTGCAGTAAGAATTAATTTCTTCAAAATCTCAGAGACCACCCAGAGCATGTCCGAACTTTGGCAAATGTCTACTGGTCTCCTCAGTATTTGATTAGCTGTACACTGAGCAACTGACCAGGGGTTCTGGGTCTTTGAAAAGAGATGAGGAAAAAATGTTCTCAAAAGATGAAGAAGGGAAGTAAACCTCTCCTCTCACCCAAAATCTATTCATAATTCATTTTATGTGTTTGTGCTTTGAGAAGGGGCAGGACAAGAGAAATTCAGTGCAGAGACAACCTCAACCAAGCTAAACCGTCCAACATTTGCAAAAACGTTAAAACTGTGTTCAGGGAGCAAGCTTTTGCTAGATGCTCCCGGTCGCTTGAAAACCTGTCCTTCCATCTCGGCACCAAAGCCTCCCCAGGGTGGGAACCACGTCCTGCACTGAGAAGCGGTGGCAGGAATCTGGCAGCAGGGTCGACGATGGCCGAGGGAGCAGAAGCTCCTGGAGAACAGGCCCTGGCTGGGTCTCAGCCGGCTGCAGTTCCTCTCCCCACAGCCTTTGTCTCTCACATACTAGCTGCTCAATAAATGTGGACGCGGGAAGCGAGAAACCCGAATCTGCCCCCGTACCCCAGAGGCGAATTATGGGGTGCACGGGTTTATTCCGACCCACTGTCTCCTCACGTTTCCTCCGGTAACCCGGCCTCGGCTGCTCCGGCCCCAGCCGCTGGAGAGCAACCAAGGAGGCAAGCTGCTGGAGACAAGATGGAGAGCAATCCCGAGAGGGAAAGCGGCCACGCGGGGCGCCAGCCGGAGCCCACCTGCAGCAGCGCCGACTGCCCAGCCCCACGCTCCCATTGACAAGGAGGCCCTCGCAGCCCGCGCGCGAGGCGGGGTGGGGTGGGGCGCCCCGGCGCGCG